TATAATGAATAGGAGAAGAAAGTGATAAAATTTTGAAATATTCTTTAACACGTGATAAAGTTAAATTGTTATGAAATCATGTGATTGTAAATTTTTACTGTATGGTATTATTACATATTACTGTATTATGTATTATTATATGAAATTAGATAAAACAATAATTTTTTATGAATATTTTTTTTTTTTAGATAAAGTACAAAACTTTTGTTACAATTGTTAATAAAATTATTATTATTTTTTTTTCTCCTTTCGGAATGAGATTTAAAAAACCTATTACTACCATTATTAAACCAAAATTCTCCAAAAATAAAAATAAAAAAATATTTTCTTAATAGTAAATATAATGATAAATAATTACATAAAAAATATCATGCATTAACAACTGTTAACCTTCTTTTTGGTATAGTCATAACAACAACTTCTCGACTAATAATTTCTTGTTCAAGTTCAGCTTGTTTAGCTTCTTCGCTCATTTCATCATCAAGTAAATTCGCCCTATTATTTATACTATTAAATCTACTATCTGTACCTCCAAATTCACTTCCACTTGCTTGACTATTCTCATCATTGTTCAAACCACCATTTGTGTCATTATATTCATCCACATCACCACGACCACCAAATTTTCCCATTAATGCTACTAATATGCTATTTTTACCTCTTGGATATCCTGCACAAGCTAGTAATATCCAACACAAATATATAATAAACATGAAAATTAAAAACAAATAAAAAAATATTTTTTCCACAGATTTTGTGTTGTACAATGAAATTGCTAAAAATACTGTAAATAATAGTAATATAATTTGATAAACTATATGGCACAAATGTCTAGTAAACAATACAAGAGAGTTTGGTCTTTGTTGTGGATAATCATAATGTGAATTACCAAATGTTTGTGTCATAGTTGGTGCACCATTTGAATCTATTCGTTGATGATATGATCCTGTAGCTGTGCTTTGTGAAGTTCTCCTTGAATTTGGGATCCCATTTTGTTTACCATTGTTACGTGAGGTGGCATTCAAGAACGTTGGAGTATCTGCAATGGTTACGCTTTTTCGTTTGCCTATCCATGAATCAGTGGATGGTTTATTAAGCATAGATGTTCTACTTTGGTGACGTGTACTTTCATTTTGATTTCCAGGTCGTGAAACTTCAAATGATTTCGGTTGTTTACCATCTGCTTCAGAATTTTTTAAATTTAAAAATAATGCAATCCTACTTTTAAAACTGGTATCATGCTCTCCAAGTTCAGAATCTTCGGTTGTTTTTGCTGATGTATATGACCCAAACTTCCTAATAGTTACACACGATGTTATTGCCAATATTGGTATCATGACATATAAAAGAGCGATCAGTACCACGCCAATTAATCCATGAGAGGTTAAAAAATGGATTGAAGTATTATTTTTAGAAGCTGGTGTAATATCTACTTGCCGTATTGCGACAAAAAAACCATAAATAAGAAAAGCATAAGATGATATTATTAAAATAACATAAATAATTCCATAAACAATCCGTCCTTGGCCGAATCTCATTATTGATGTCGCAAACGG